CGTTAACAACACAAGAAGACATAAACGAAAAGGAGAATAAAATATGTAAGGTACAATAAATTGACGTGAGGTACTGTTGTCTCTCGTCAGGGCCTTCCCTTCTTCATTCCTCTCGATTTCTTTTACGCACATTCATATATGTCCTGGTCCACCAGATTGTCTTTTTTCTTTTTATCTTCTTTTTCGCCGGTTCCGGAACTGCCTGATCGTTGATTTTCTGCTTATTCTTCTGATATGTCGTATCAGCTGCAGCCAGGGTATCCGGGGTTATCTTATCTTCTTCGCCTTTCGATAACATTCCCCCGAAGCAGCTGCCGAGCTCCACTCGGTATGAAGGCTCAAGTAGTTGATTAACACTCGACGCACTTTGTATTCCTTGTGTTCCAGCATCTGCTAGGTGCCCCGTTTTGCCAGAGTGGTGATGCCCAACTCCTTCTTATAGATCACTCGGAACGATTGGATGAGGCTGGACATCATTTTCACCTGCGTTCGCCTAGTTTTGTGGGCGAGCACACTCTTTTCCCTCCGGCTGAACGAGCAAGCGGGGCATTGTCGGATACTGGGGGTTCGACAAGGGAAACTGGAGGTTTGAACCTCCCAAAGTAGTCGTTAGAATGCCTAGTACTGGCGGACATCTCGTAATGAATACCGATTTGGGCTGGATACGCCCTTTATACCTGTTGGGCATGCTACAGGACCTTTGTCGTGGGATGTCGTTGGTCGCCCTGACATTCCTTGATTGATACGATTAGGGGGCGATACTCCTGCCAAATCGTCGTAAATCTGGCCCTCTTCTTACCGTCGCATTCAGCTAAGCACTTCACAATAAGCTAAGAAGTAGACGCGCAATATCCGCTTGATTAAAAGAGATCCTTTATCTTATCAAACTATGCACTCAATTGTTTTTTGAGTATTAAATGCTGATGTTAGTTCCTGATCTTCTTTCGACTTAGAGGGTTGGTAGTTCGACTTAGTACGTTAATGTTTTCTCAGGCTCTAAGACCGTCTGGGCGTATGTCTGGCCGCTTAATGCGTTCTATAAAAGTATTGCAGTTGTGCTGATGATAATATAATTGCCTTTCCCTTTCGCGACTGATTTCGGTAAGAATTTGGAAGGGCAATTTCTATTCCACAAAATTGAGAACTAATTTGCTTTCGACATCCCTACTAGAAGTTTCCAACTGTCGGAAGATTATCAGCAGGTTTTCTACCGTTTCAGTTGTCGTATTCTTGAAGGCTGGAGGCATTCTTCCCAGCTCTAGCACTAAATGTCGCTCCGTCTCTTCCGGTCTATCCAACCGGTTTTTCAAGAGGTCTTTTGCCATTTCGTAGTTGTTTTCTGCCACTTCATATCTAGCTACGAATTCGATAGCGTCTTTTTCTAGAAAGGAGATTAGGCAAGTCAGCTTTGTATTTTGAAAATATTTTCATTTGAGTTTATTTGTGACCGGAAAGCAGTCCAAAAGGCTGACCACAAGCTGAATTTTCTCGAGTCCTTCGGCATGCTATTGAGTAACAGAGGGTTGTTAGATGGGGGTACTGGCGGACGTGTCTGTTGTGTTGTTGTTTTTGTGCTCCCTATTTCTAGTTTTATATATCTAGATTTATTTTTGTTTGGTCAATATTTGCTTCGAGTACCATTAACGTCCCTGTCGCGTCCGATTGCGCCTGCCCTCCTAGCCTTACCGCCCTAAGTTGCTGTTCACTTAACATCTGTTCTACCCTGGGATCTTTTGAAAGAGTCTGCAAAGCCCCATCCAATGTTGTACGTTCTCAGTGTATCCTTCTATCGCGACTTTTCTCAGCTTTGCCGCTTGTGGGTATTCCCTATTTACTTCTGTAGTCTTACTTTTGTCTTTGTCATTTTCTCCCGGCGGCTCTACCTCAGTAGTCTCTTACATTTGCAGATGTGATCTTTTGAGGTCTATTTCTGAGGCCGAAAAGAGTGCGCTGTCCAAAATACACAATTTTCAAACAATTGGAGAGACAGATAAGAAATCAGAAGGTTGAAAAGAATTAGAAAAGCTTAGATGTTTGTTTAGTTTAGCACCTTTCTGTAATTCTATAACTTTTGTTGATTGCGGAATTTATAATTTTGAATCCATTTTTGTTTTTAATTAATCAAAAGGTGCAGATTGGAATTTCGTGCACAAACTCCAGTTTCAAATTGCCAAAATTAACTTCTCTGTTTTTGTTTTATTATTTTTTATTGCAATAATGGAGGTGTCAAGCGCTGAGTTTTTGAACCTTCCAAACTGTGAATACAAAGAGAGCAGATGAAGGAGCTGTGTTAGTGAGAACGGTGCTGGACGTCTTTGTTAGTCTTATTATGGAAGCTCACCTTGTTAGTGTTCCTCTGTTGGTCCAAGTATGTTCCGAAGCACCATATAAAGAAAAAGAATTGCATATTGAATTTGTATCGCTTGCGGTGACTTGCTAATTCGTTTGTCACCAGTGTTACCACGCAGGTCTTTCCAAGTAGTAATACGTGTATTTATTCCTCCGTAGTATAAGGATGAGTATACACCTCAAACTTTATATGGGTAACTAAACCCACATAAACTCATAGAACAATACTGAATAACATATAGTAACGCAGAATCATCAATATTTTCTAGTCAACGTTAACAACACAAGAAGACATAAACGAAAAGGAGAATAACATAGGTGAGGTAAAATAAATTGACGTGAGGTACTGTCGTCTCTTGCCGGGGCCTTCCCTTCTTCATTCCTCTTGATTTCTTCTACGCACGTTCATACATGTCCTGGTCCACCGGATTATTTTTTTTTCTCCTTATCTTCTTTCTCGCCAGTTCCGGAACTGCCTGATGGCTCATTTTTTGCTTATCCTTCTGATAAGCCGTATTAGCTGCTCCCAGGGTATTTGGGGTTATCTTATCTTCTTCACCTTTCGGCGACAAATAATTTTTTTGCAAAAACTGAAAGAAATTTTTCTTTGTCCCTTTAAATGTTTTTTTAGTTGGTACTTCTGCCAAGTAAACAATATTCAATTTCTTCTCTTTTTTTCCCGCTCCCCTCTGCCTCTCGCAACATTCCAACCTCTTTACCCAAAAAAAGAAGAAAAAAAAAACAAAAAAGAGAATTTGCGATTGAAAAATACTGGAAAAGGCAGTTGCAAATACCGGGCAAATCTGAATGCCATTAAAGACAATGAAGATTTGTTGTTGTTGGTAACTTTTCCTTCGTTTTGTATATAATAGACGACTCGATGTTGGTGTATTGTGCCGTTATGTATGTACAACATATTTCCAAACAACCCGTTCTTATTGACCTCTTAGAATACGTGTTTAAGCTAAGGTTTTGATGATACAAGAAAAAAATAACCTGCAGAAGGAAAAAAGAATATTCGTGCATCTTTATCCCAAGGGAGATATGAAAACAAAATTTTTCTTTTCTTTTCACCTTTACCTTTTTACTATCTAAATTTTCCTAAAGCGCTTCACCACTTTTTAGAGAGCCTACTGCAGGATGACTTAACAAAACAAAATTTTTTCAGAATTCTAAATATTGTTGGTGGAGTAATGACATTCTCGAAAAGAAAAAAAAAAGGAAATCTTGAAATGCTACCACCATAAACAATTTTAAGTAACAGTATATCTCTAAAACTATTTGCTAATCTTAACGATACGACAGTTTTCGTGGTTAGCTGCATAACACTCTTTTTACTTTTCAGCCGGCACTGCCATGGTGAAATAATTTAGAACTGAAAAAAGCTTGTCATTGCTGCCGTTGTCGAAGATCCCGATGTTGCTGTTGGAGCTGTTGTTTACTTGTTCAGGATTCTACACGCTACTAACTTTGATCAGATCTATTTGATTTTGGAATTACTTTTCTTTTTTTTCTAACCTTCCTTCTTCAGAAGTTGTAAAGTATTGAGAAGTGTTTGACTGTTTTCCTCCTTGCTTCATTGGTTCAATATTTTGTTGATCCTTAAATTATGGCAACAAAATGTCAGACTGAAATACTTATTTAGCTTGGCATTTTAATACCGTCACAGTTACAATGACATGAACAATCAAGTCAAACAAAAAGTGATGCACAACTAAATGACACAAAAGCATGCTGTGAAAACCAAATTAACTGGTGGAAATGCACTCGACCTGCAAGCAGCGGAACAACAGAATTGAAAATGAAGCGTAAGACAACAGTGCAACTGGGGGAAAAAAAGCGACTTTCAGAAATGACGAATAAATTGCTCGGATGCCTAACAAACAACAAACTGCCAGTCAGTGGTAGACCTGTATGGGTCTTAACACGACAATTGAAACTGTTGCCAGAAAGCTTACGGCAAATTTACAGTAAGAAGCTTACCAACGCAGTGTATGTTCAAATTCTTTGCCTACAGTAACATCTGATCATCTTTCTCACCTCTAAAAAATAGATCAAATTAGTATATTTGTATATTTTTTTTGAGCATTTATCAAAAAGGAAATTTTTTTAGTTCTCTCTATAATGTGATGCTGAATTAAATACGTTTCTCACAAATTTTCACTAACCTTGTCGACTTCATTTGCGGGTATCAAACGTCGGGGAAAAAAATGCCCGCATAGTCGCTTTTCTTTTTTGTTAAAGTTTATTTTAAGTCAACTATTCAGGCACTTTCTTTTTAATTTTCTTTTTTTATGTATCTACTTTGAAGCAGTTATTGTTTAGTGTTAACAACTGGTCGGGAAACGGAGAAAAAAAAAATGGACTGCCAGAGATTAATCATTCATTTGAACATTGCCGTTCATATAGGTAGTTGAACTAAACTAACTGATTGTATAGATACTGCAAATGTATAAATACATTTGTCTTATCAAATTTTATTGTTGTTCATTCAATGTGGTAACTGCCAATGAATAGACACTTACTGTTAAACTAGTAACATACGCTATGCATGATGAATGCATGGACCACTGTTTTTTTCATCATTGATTCTGTTGCTGCTCACTGCTGCTGTTATTCTGCTGTACTGTGGCTTCCGTTACATATTATACTGTTGTTATACAGCGCCCCGTTACACCGATATATGGTATAACCAAAACCAGTTTTTATTCCTTTAAGCCTACCATAGGCTTGGCTTCAATACGAGTAGACCGTTGACAGTGCTATACTTAAATTGCTAATCTATCAAACAGTATTATTTCTATTTTTTTTT